CATTATGTACACGATTAACTGATGTCAAATAATGGTTCATTTGTCTTAAATGATGTCTTTTACAAATTTTATCATTTGATATTCATTATTTTAATATAACATATTTAATTATAATTACAACATAATGGTAATATATTACACACATGAATTGATATATTTTGTTATCACATTATTTTATTCCACTATCATATCATTATATTTTTGTCTTATTTAGTCACCTATGTGTACACTTTCAATTGATATTAAACAATGGTTTACTGTCCCTTATTATCACACACCTGTGACAGAGACCGGAAGATGAGGAGGCTTCTCTTGCGGCTCGTGTCCTGCAACCCCCGGGGTTGGAGCAGAAGGCCGCAGGACAGCGAGGAGCACGAGTGCCACGGATGGAAGCGGACACCGTGCAGGAGACGTCTGCTAGCGAAGTCAGCAGGCCAAAGGTCACAACCGGGCGGGCAGCGTGGGAACAGATTTAGGAGACAGGAATCGTGGTCCAGAAAGGGTCAGGGCCAGCCGGGCAGCAAGGTATCGAATCAGAAGGCAAGAGCAAAGTCCAGGAAACAAGCCACGGTCAGGGGCAGGCAGCAAGCAGCAGAGTAGTCCAAGACAATGCAGGTCAAACAGGTCACAGGCAAATCAACAGGAAGCACTAGCTAGCAAGACCATCAGCAATGTTTGGAGCTCATGATTGCACTATGGTCCGTCTTCGGAGAACGGGTCTGTGCGCAGCCGCCATTCTACCCTTACACTTATGATGTTCATATGCTATATATATACAACTCTGATTGCTTTATTGACCATTTAGAATACGGCGTGTCTGCCTTTCCCTGTCCTCTTCTCATTTTGTGGCCGGCTTCTCATCACAACCTCTCCTCTTTGGGTCTTCTGGTTAATCTCTCGTTGGCTGGTCTATATCAAGTTGCAGGTTTATGAATTTATTGATACATTTTTTTCACATATTTCTCTATACATATATCTTCTTCATATTGTCCATGTGTCACATACTTTGAATGTTTAGATACATGTCAACACAGTTACTGATTTGGTCGATATTGATTAGTTCTTTAGGCTCAAAGTCCTCCTGAGGAAGCCTTGTTTTAGGCAAAACACGCTGAGGCATCCAAAAAAAGAATAATACCATGTTTCATCTTTCTTATGATCTATTAGGTGACTGCAACTATTAATTGGATCATGCACATTTTTTTATATCAGGTCTGTACCAACAATATCTGTTTTTAATCTATTGTAATACATTATTTTATATAATAAGTTCATTGTGAGAGCAACTTTGTTTCTCTCTTCCCAGGCTTTGCACACCTGGTAATGGTTATTGATCAGATGATCTTGGGTACAATCTATTTTACTGAGGTGTGAAATCTTGCTCTCTTTCTATCTAATATGCGCTCATAATTGTTTTTTTTTAAAAAGTAGTACATGTTGCGACCTCAATGAATCAATAAATGCTTTATAGAGGTCGGTTGTTGCAAAATATAAATTCTTTTCTTTGTGCTATTTTATTTATTTAGGTAGAAAACTTGGATTGTAGATATATGTCCTGTTATATACCGTAATATCTTCTTCATTTTTGTCATTTTGTTCTGGTTTTTATATTGATTCTGGTCTTCAATAAGAAAAGAGTAATTAAAGAAGTACATGTTGCCAATCTGCCAACAAATTTTTCCTATAGGGCTATTCACAAAGCTGCCGAGTGAATAACCGAGCCGAAGTGAAGAGAGCCGAACAATGTTCGGCTATTTACTCCGGCTCAGTATGACTGATTTCAGCCGTACATCTGCTGCCTTCGGTCAGCCGAGCATGCTCTGCGGTGCAGAGGGACTTCGACTCAGCCGATCCAACATCTGGATCGGCTGAGCCGAAGCTCCAGCAGCTCACTTGCTGCCGTTAGCCCCTAATCTCATAGGGGCCGAACGGCAGTGAGTGAATAGCCAAATGCGGCTGAGCAGCATTCTGCTTGGCTTTTCTGCTCGGCACATCCGAGGTACCGAGCAGAATAGAAAAGTGCAAAGAATGAAAAAAATAAAAAGTGAAACATTATTTCATAAATTATAAAAAAAATAGGGAAATTTAAAAAATAGCTAGCTCCACCCAACTGTTTCCTATTGGCCGGCACCTGCTAGAGTCTAGGTCAACGAATAACAACTGGGCGCAGCCGGCCATGACGTCACAGCTGGCTCCACCCAGTTGTTATTGTTTAATGACAGATCAGCATCCCCAGGTCATTTGGGGACACTGATCTGTCATTACAACTGGGCGCAGCCAGCCGTGAGGTCACAGCTGGCTCCGCCCAGCTTTCATTTATGAGACGAACGGCCAACCTTTGGCAGGCCGTTCTCCCTGCTTCGGCTGTCACTTCAGCTCAGGTGAGCCGAAGGCATATGCCCTCCGCTCGGCTGAGCCGCTTGGCCGTTTTCGGCTGCTGTACGGGCTATAGTGAATAACCCGTACAGCAGCTCTTCAGTTCGACTGAACCAAAGGGCAGAGGTGGCCGAACAGAGCCAAAGGATCAGCAGAAGCTACGGCTGGATCCTTCAGCTCTTTAATGAATAGCCTCCTTGGTGTTCGCGCACGTTCTCGCACACGTGAAAGTATGGAGAAAAACTGTGTTTGCTCGGACACGTTTGGGGTGCTATTACCTAGTGATGGCAAGGCAAGCGCATTCCGCGTTTGTGCAAGCATCATGCATTTTCAGACAATAAACATTTTCCTAATATTTTCAGGAATGCTTCCTTTACCTCATTATTCCTTAGGCTGTATATCAAAGGGTTTAATACAGGGGTCATAACACCATACATGAGAGCGATATATTTGAGTACGGACGATAGATTCTTGGTCTGCCCCATGTACATGGTCATAGTTGTCCCGTAAAACATGGAGACCACAATCAGGTGGGAAGCACACGTGGAGAAAGCTTTGGATCTCCGTTCAGTTGACTGAATTCTCAGGACTGATACAATAATGAGACAATATGATACAAAGATAACTACAAAGGGTGTTAAGAGGGTGAACAGACTCATGATAAATAATCTCAGTTTATAAATGGAGGAGTTCCCACACGCTATCTTCACCACCGCTAATATCTCACAGACAAAATGATCCAGCTGGTCTTCTGAACAGAAGATCAGAGGCTTTGAGATGGTGGGGACAATGGATATGAAGAACCCTCCTAACCACACGGCGACTGTAATTTTCCCACAAATGTTCCGATTCATAATGATGACATAGTAGAAGGGGAAGCAGATGGCGATGTAACGATCGTACGCCATCACTGCGAGCAGTAGGCCCTCCGTTGCTCCTAGGGAGAGCGCGACGTTCAATTGCACCATGCAGCTTAAAACGGAAACGGTTCTTCTCCTGGAAAGGACATCGAGTAACATTTTCGGGATGGAGCTGGATGAAAAGCACAAGTCCAGGAATGATAGATTGCAGAGGAAGAAGTACATCGGCGTGTGCAATTTAGGACTGATGAAAACAATGTAAATCAGAACGCTGTTCTCCAGAACGGTCACTATTTAAATGGACAATAATGCAGCAAAAAAAAATACGCAGATCGGCATGCTTTGAGGAAAGCCAACCAAGACGAATTCCTTCAAGAAGGTCTGATTCCCGGGGCCCGCACCCAACATCATAGGACTTGCTTTTAACAAAGCCAGTACTTCTGATGGGTTTTCTTCACTCGCTGATGATACATCATTTGAAGTGATACTGAAAACATTAAAATGTAAATGTTAGAACCAAATTATACAAGACAAGCGAAGGAAAGAGGAACTCAATGAAACATCAAGTTAACCGAATTCGGGACAGAATTTTTTTTTATTTATCACACATGTTAAAATAAAAAAAGTGGAGCGAAAATTTACTTTATACCCTCAAACAATAATATATTTCCTGAAAGCAATAAAGCAAAAAAAAGTAGCTGCATTTTTTATGTTGCACGTTATGGGCACAAATGTGATTAAAATCTATATTTTTAGAAAAAAATTAACTACAATGTCAGAATAGAAATGTTAAAATTTTAAGTGCACACAAGTACAATATAATACCCAATATAATAATAATAATATAACAATACACAATATCATATAATATTTTTGTACACTATAGAAAAAATGGGGTCACATCAAGTAAATAGATACCAAACATGTCAAACCTTAAAATGTTGCTTGTCTGTGCAACTGTAAAATAATATGGTTCTCATATTAGTCCATAGGTGACATTTTAAAAGGGACAGGATCCAGAAGTAAGCAATCAACGGTATGTGTTCGCTCACTTCCCAGCCTATTGAGCCGATGTGTGACAGTTTCATTGTCACAGGTCGGCTCGAACTATGAGGCTGAGTAATTTTCACTCACCTCATAGATCTCCTTTAATACGAACATCTATTTGGCATGCTTCTGACATCATTCAGATATTATTGAGAGGTGAAGTTGCACCACGGTTGACCTCCTTCTGGCCTGCAATTGACCTGCGTCATGATTCTTTTGCTTTACCATAGAGTTGTATAGGATGAGAAGCAGTCCTGCAAACAGGAGCATGTTACATAGTTACATAGTATTTGGGGTTGAATAAAGACATAAGTCCATCAAGTCCAACCTATATAGGTCCACGCATCATCTCATTCTTAGGAATAATTGTACTCCTGTATATTATGGTCCCTCAGGAAATCGTCCAAAAGTTTCTTGAACAATTTTACACTCTTAGCTGAGATCACTGCCTGTGGAAGCAAGTTCCAGACCCTAACCGCTCTTACTGTGAAGAACCCCCTGCGCCCCTTGTGCTGGAATTTTTTTTCTACCAATTTTAGGTGGTGGCCTCTAGTTTTTGTAATGGAGTTAATCTTAAAGAGTTTGTTGCCAATGTTGCTATCGCCATTGAACATCTTGTACATGAAAATCATATCCCCCTTAATCTCCTCACCTCCAATGTGAACATGTATAAATTTAGTAGCCTTGTCTCGTAGCTCTGGTCCTCCATACCCCTAATTAGTTTGGTTGCCCTTCGCTGGACTCTCTCCAGCTCAAGGACATCTTTTCTTAGTACTGGTGCCCAAAACTGGACCGCGTATTCCAGATGTGGCCAAACCAATGATCTATATAGAGGCCCAATTATAGACTTGTCTCTGCAATACATCCCCTTCTTAATACAGGACAAGACCCTGCTAGCTTTGTTTACAGCAGCCTGGCACTGCAAGCTACCATTCAGTTTGTGGTCTACAATGACCCCCAAATCTTTTTCTATTTCTGACTTCCC